AAAATGGCAGGGCAAACTTATTACTTATCAAGAGTCACCTTGAATATAAATGTTCTCAACTCTCCAGTTAAAAGACACAGACTGGCTAAATGGGTTAAAAAATAAAACCTACAAGAAACACATTTCACCAACAAAGATGCATGCGGACTAAAAGTGAAAGGATGGAAAAAGATATTCCATGCTAACAGAAACCAAAAAGAGCTGGTGTAGCCATCCTAATATCAGACAAATAGACTTTAACACAAAAACTGTTAAAAGAGACAAAGAATGGCAGTATGTAATGATTAAAGGATCAATTCAACAGAAAGATGTAAGTATTATAAACATATATGCACCTGGTTACAGGACACCTGGCTATTTAAAAGAAAAGTTAAGGGACCTAAAGGGAGACATAGACTGAAATATAATATTAATGGGGGATTTCAATATCCCACTTTCATCAATGGACAGTAACCAGACAGAAAATCAGCAAGGAAACAGCAGAGTTAATTGACACTATAGACCAAATGGACCTAAAAGATATCTACAGAACTTTTCATCCTATATTGCAGAATACACATTCTTCTCAGCAGTGCATGGAACTTTCTCTAGGATTGACCACATGCTAGGCCATAAAGCAAGTCTCAGAAATTCAAAATAATCAAATTCATACCATGCATCTTCTCAGACTACAGTGGAATGAAGCTGGAAATCAGCAACTCAGGAATCTCTACAACATATGCAAACACATGGAGACTGAACAACTTACTCCTGAATGAACAGTGGGTCACAGAAGAAATCAAAAGAGAAAACAAAAAATTTCTGGAAACAAATGGAGATGACATATCAACATATCAAAACTTATGGGATACAGCAAAAGCAGTGTTAATAAGAAAGTTAATAGCAGTTGGTGCCTACATCAAGAAATTGGAAAAGGTCGGTGCCATGGCTCATTAGGCTAATCCTCTGCCTGCAGCACCGGCACATGGGGTTCTAGTCCTGGTTGGTGCGCTGGTTCTGTCCCAGTTGCTCTTCTTCCAGTCCAGCTCTCTGCTGTGGCCTGGGAGGGCAGTGGAGGATGGTCCAAGTGCCTGGGCCCTGCACCTGCATGGGAGACCAGGAGGAAGCACCTGGCTCCTGGCTGTAGCGGTCATTTGGGGTGTGAACCAACAGAAGGAAGTCCTTTCTCTCTGTCTGTCTCTCTCTCACTGTCTAACCCTGCCTGTCCAAAAAAAAAAAAAAAAAAAAAAAAAAAATGGAAAGGCACCAAATAAATGAGCTATTAATGCATCTCAAGGATCTAGAAAAACATCAGCAAACCAAACCCAAAACTAGTAGGAGAAAAGAAAAAATTAGAGAACTCAATGAAATTGAAACCCCCCCCCCAAATACTAAAGATTAGCAAAATGAAGAGCTGGTTTTTTTAAAAAATAAACAAAATTGACACACTATTGGCCCAACTAACCAAAAAAAGAAGAGAGAAGACCAAAGTCAATAAAATTAGTATTTCTTCTAAATACTCCAACAATAACTAAAAAACCAAAACTCAGATTACTACTTTTTGGATAAACCATTTTATCACCAACCTGAACCCAAAAGAAAGAGAAAAAAAGAGGGAAAAGGCCTAATTCTGAATAACCACAATGTGAGGGGCACCAAGGAGACCCCAAAGTAAGACAGTCAAATATAGTTGAGGTTCTAGGATCTATGGCAAGAGAGGAGGGCAAGTGGAAAACAAAGGAAACCAAGAGAGATGAAAAGAAGAATTGTATTGAGATTGACAAGGAGACCACAGACCAATGAAGCGGAAGAATGAGTGATAAGTAGACACCAGGCACCCAGTGGAAGCCCATCATCCTCTACCTTCTCCTTTTGGGACCACTGGTCCAGCACATCCCCAGCAAAGTTAAAGTTCTTAGGCAACGACCTGTCACAGCGATTTATGGCTTCAAAGTCAGCAAGTGTCAGAGATGCCCAACGCTGATGATCTCTGTGAAAGTGCCGGCCAGATGGCTTGGCAAGCCAGATGAATCTGAACGTCAACCAAGTCTTCATGATTCCTAGAGGACACTGGTTACCAGTATGGTGTGGAAGTACCACCACCTGTGGAGAGAGATGAAGGAAAGTGTCCTTCAGAGATTGGGGAGTAGACCTGTGGCTGCATGCCCCTGGCAAGTTGAAGAACACCCCCAAAATACCCCATCCTTTTTTTTGAGCTGTTGCTGTTAGCCACTAATTAATCTCTGCCACTGGACTCTGCCATTTGATTTTGGCTGTGATTGGATTAGTCTTTTTTTTTTTTTTTAATATTTATTTATTTGAAAGGCAGAGTTACAGAGAGAGAAGGAGAGACAGAGTGAGAGATCTTCCTTCCACTGGTTCACTCCCCAAATGGCCACAACAGCCAGAGCTGGGCCAATCCAAAGCCAGGAGCTTCTTCCCGGCTCCCACGTGAGTGCAGAGGCCCAAGGACTTGGGCTATCCTCTGCTGCTTTCCAGGCATATTAGCAGGGAGCTGGATCAGAAGTGGAGCAGCTGGGACCTGAACTGGTGGCCAAATGGGATGCTGGACTCCCAGGCAATGGCTTTACCTGCTATGCCACAGCACCGACTCCTGAATTAGTTTTTTAAAAACACTACAGCTGTAGAAATGTCAAGCTCCTGTCTCTTGTTCCCACCTTCCCACCTTCACCCCAACTGAACAATAGACAAATAGAATATTTGCTGCCTGGATTGGCGTTCAGGGCCTCCTGTCTGCTTCACACTCTGTTCCAAGTGTATCTGCCGAATCTTCTGTAGGAATTTCCTCTTGCAGTAACAGCAGCCCACTCACTGTTCATGAGCATCTACTTCTACCACTAAGATCAGGCCTGCCATTCCCCTTGCGTTTGGCTGCCCTTCTCTCCTTCCCCGTCAATCTTCCATAATTATTGCTTAGAAACCTTGATTTATGTCCTGGCTAAGAGACTTTCTGGCTGTAAGACTTTAGGTAAATTACTTATCTTCCTATTCCTCAATCATCTACAAAATGCAGAATATATGGTACCTCCCTCCTAGGGTTTTTGTGAGGATTTAATGAGATAAACCACGTACCCCATAAATATACACAGTAACTATATGTGAATTTTAAGATACATATTGAAAATAAAGACAAATAATACAATGAGTTTAAAATGCCTAATCTGTAAACAAAATAAAATATGCCTTCAAAGTGTTCACTACAGCTATTGTTGAGATTATTTTTATTAGTACTTCTTCTGTGACATGGTTTCATGAAACAATACTACAGTATGAATTAGGAGACCTGGGTTTTACTCAGCTGTTTCAAAACTATCTTTGTGGCATTGGGAAAGCTACCTGCTATTTCTGGACTCCATTGTAATCTAATTTCTTTCTTTTAGTTCTGTGATTACTTCTTTTTTAAAAAACTTCCATGGGGCCAGCTCCATGGCTCACTTGGTTAATCCTGTGCCTGAGGCACTGGTATCCCATATGGGTGCTGGGTTCTAGTCCAGGTTGTTCCTCTTCCAGTCCCAGTCTCTGCTGTGGTCCGGGAGGGCAGTGGAGGATGGCCCAAGTGCTTGGGCGCCTGCACCTGCGTGGGAGACCAGGAAGGGGGACCTGGCTCCTGGCTTTGGATCGGCGTAGTTGAGCTGTGGCGGCCATTTGGGGGGTGAACCAATGGAAGGAAGACCTTTCTCTCTCTCTCTCTCTCTCTCTCTCTCACTCTCACTCTATCTGTAAAAAAAAAAATTCCATAACATCCATTTATACTACTCATGTAACACATGTCTGCCTGGTTTTATTAATTACCATTCTTTTCTGGATTTTAATTAATTAATTAATTTAAGGGGCATAGTAACACATAGATATTTCATCTGCTGAATAACTCCCTAAATGCCTGCAGTGGCCAGACTGGGCCAAGCCAAAGCTGAGAGCCAGAAACTCGATCAAGATCTTCCACATGGGTGACCCCAATTACCTGAGCTATTGTCGCTGCCTCCCAGGATCTACATTAGCGGGAAGCTGGAGTCAGGTGCTGGAGGCAGGTCTCAAACCTGGGCACTCCTGTATGAGATGCTGGTGTCTTGAATGCTATGTCAAATACCTACCTCTATCATTTTATTTTATTTTATTTTATTTTTTTATTTTTGACAGGCAGAGTGGACAGTGAGAGAGAGAGACAGAGAGAGAAAGGTCTTCCTTTTGCCGTTGGTTCACCCTCCAATGGCCGCCGCTGCAGCCGGCGCACCGGGCTGATCCGATGGCAGGAGCCAGGATCCAGGTGCTTTTCCTGGTCTCCCATGGGGTGCAGGGCCCAAGCACCTGGGCCATCCTCCACTGCACTCCCTGGCCATAGCAGAGAGCTGGCCTGGAAGAGGGGCAACCGGGACAGAATCCGGCGCCCCAACTGGGACTAGAACCCGGTGTGCCGGCGCCGCAAGGTGGAGGATTAGCCTATTGAGCCACGGCGCCGGCCTACCTCTATCATTTTTAATATATATGCCCTGTCTCCCTGATTTATCTAGTAGTTGTGGTAGAGGCTGTGTATCACATCCTTCATACTAAACATGGCTCATAGAGAATAAAAGCTAGTGTTTATTATTTCTTAAGGTAAGCCAGGCACTTGGCACTCCTGATGTCTTTTATTATTCAAATATGGCAAGCTTGTGAGGCTGGTGCTACTATTATCTCCATTTTGCAGATGAAGACCCTGAGGCTCATGTAGACTTAAGAATTTGCCCAAGGTCATCCAGCTCATGGTGGCAGAGACAAGATTTGAACATTCACAGGCTGACTTCAGAGTTTGCTTACTCAGTCTTTCTGCTGTTCAGTTTCCTTCATACTGCCTGTACTTTCCTGTACATCAACAGGAAACCTTTCCTGTTGATGGTGAACACTCTCACCCTTTTGCCCTTTAGTCCTGTGTAGTTGATCTGCATGAAGTGAAAAAACCTGCAGGTGCAAAGTGTGCCTGGGTCTGCAGCGATAATAAATAAACAAAGAACAAAGGATGCAAGATGTCCCCTCCCTTCATTGTTGTTACCAAGCCCTCTTTACTACTCAGTGACATCGGACAAGTGAGAGGTACATTTGGTGCCAACACAATTTACTGTAGCCCAGAAAGAATTATTTCTGGCAATACTGTTGGTTTTTAAACTCTCTGTTATGTCAAGGTAGAAAAGAGAGGAAAACTGGGGAAAGGAGCAGCAGAATGAGGCCATGCTCATTTTTCTGCCAAAAGTGAGACCTCTTCTAAAACACACGCTTGCAAACACACATACTCACATTTACACACACATATACTTGCACCCACATTTGTTTCTCTGGATGACCTTCCCCAAGTTGCTTGACTTCTCCGAATCTCATTTCCATCTACTCAGTGGAATGATAATAACTTCTTCACTGGCTAGTTGTGCGGTTTGAGTGAATTCTTGACACAATCACTTATAAAATGCAGCTAGGACTCAATAAATGCTGTATATTAAAATTAAACCTCAAAACTGTTGACAGTAGGTTTTAGTTGCTTGACATACCAAAAAACTAGGATTTTTAAATACTATATTTATATTAATATTGATTATAATAGAAATAAATGTTACATTCATATTAAATATGGATTGGAGCCACTTATATTTTTCTCATTTCTGCCTCTTTTAAAGCCTGGTCACTCTGCTCCCTGCTCTTGGAGCTGGCCTCAGCATCCAGCATTCTGAAGCATTGCAGCCCTCACTTCCACCATTTTGAATGTTTTTGGTTTTAGATTAACAGTGATCTGGAAAGAATTCCAAGACATGGGGTGCCTGGGCCATTCTTCCCTCCTAATGAGGTTAGGTCAGAGAATTTAGTGGATACTTTTTAATGCAGATCTCTTCCTCCAACCTGAAAAACAATTTGTCATAAATTGTTCTTATTTCCTGTACTTCCATGGATAAACTTTTAAAATCTGAAAAAATCTTCAAATGAACATACCAACAAATCTAAAACTGCATATTGCAAACAGAACTGATCTGAAAATGCATTTTAGCATTTTTTGTTTGTGGGCACAGAGTAAAATAGATCTAATATATCTTGCATATGCAAACCTGATCAATTAGCAATAAAGAACAAATCAAGATATCAAGTAGGATTTTACAGTTAAACTTAAAAAAAAAGTTTTTCCCATTAGCACTCCTTCTTTTCTGTCCCTTTAGCCTGCCTTTGATTTTCAGAATGCATTTGGTGCAGGTAGACCTTCTAGGAGAGCGCAGGACTTTGAAGGGCCACCATTTTGCTTTGAACAGAGCCATTCCCTGACTTGGGTTCCTCTGGGAGGTTTATATGACTCCATGATTAAATCTAAGGGTCACTGATTATTTTAGCTCAAAACATTATCTTTGTAGAAATTTGTGTATAAATATGTTTAACAGGCTATCTCTATAAAATATCTGTAAAAGTCAGCGAGTTGAACTAAGTGATTTTTAAAGTCTAAATGGTTTCCAGAGTGTTGAGGGAAACCTTCACAGCGAAAAAATTTATCGAGCAATTGGTATACGCTCATGTTAAGTATTTCTGTGTAATATCTTGTTTAATTCTCTATCAGTCCTAAGAGTCAGGTATTTTATTTTACATATACATGATTTATTATTTTACATATAAAGGAACTCTTGCTCTGATAGGTAATTTGCCAAAGACCGTTCATCTATCAAGCAGCGGAAATTCCAGGCCTCTCTTTGTTGTCTCTACAGCCAATGCAAGAAAATTCTGTCCCAGATTTTTGCTATATTTCTGCCAACCTTCATAAATTTAAAAGAACAGTCTTTTTCAGTCAAAGCAACAGTTATCTGGGATTGGGACTACAGTTACCCAATTATGGCAAGACAATGTGCCTCTTTTCTTACTGCCTTGCTACAGATTTACATACACTTTCTCAACTTTTCATCCCCCACATCACCACATGCATTTAGCTTACCAAAAAAAAAGGTATTTTGGATCCAGAAAGGCCTTCAGCTCCTTACAAAGACTTGACCACATCTACCAAAAGATCAATTCCTTCCTTCTCTCCTTTTGGTGGTATCTATGCTGTTGCAGCCCTGAGTCTCTGGTGTGCAGTTGGAAGGATCATAATCTCCTGGGAGGAGAGTTTTCGTTTCCGTGGACAACCTGTGGTTAAAGGGACAGCAGTTTATAAGACACAGCTGGGAGGGGAGAAAGGAAATGCAGGAGCAACCTCCTCTCATTGGTTCAGTGCCAAACAACAGTTAAGCCCCAGCACATTAGCGGATTATTCTCGTTCAGAGAGCTGATGATATTGAGATCCATACTGCTCAGAGTCTCCTATCAGAGACTCTTGACATGATTATTGAGTAGTCCAGGACATTGGCACGCTCGATGCTTGATTATTGTGGCATAACTGGATCTGGCCTGCAAACCTGCCAACGTAGTGTAGCCAAAGGAATGATATTTGAATCCCTAACTGATTGATTAGAGAAGATTATGAGAAATTCTCCAAACTTCTGATTTTATTGAATACTTATTAAGTT